ATTTTGTTCATGAGGCGCAATACCGTGAATTATCAGCCGATAAAGGGTAGACCGCTAGTTAGTAACTGTTTTATTTTTTTACTATATTGTAATTAAAAATATTAGCCACTGATTAAAACTAAATATTCTTGTGTGAATTTCGATTAGTGAATAAGGATTAGCCAATTTAATTTACCATCGGTAAGTGTTTTCATATAAGTTTTCCCATGTTTACTTATTTTTCTGAAGTCAAAACAACGTTTGACCTTGATTGCCTCGTGCTATTTCACAAAATAGCACGATAAATATAAGCTCGTGTTATAAAAATTAGTTCCCACGTTTCCTGAAATTGATCGAGACCAGCCGTGATTGGTTGTTTGTGTTTTATTGTTAATCTAGACTAACAATATAATAAACAAACCACTACTATTACGTACTATTTCCAGAAATGTTTTGCGAAATGTTTCACGAAATATTTCTGGAAATATTTCCTGAAATATTTCCTGAAATATTTCGGGGATAGTGTAGCGGCTGTTTTACAATGGCGAAATACACATAAGGCTTTTTTGAAGAAATGAATCAATTATCACGATTGTTTGAACCGCATTGTGATCCGATTCCATTCTTACGTTCTTTTTTACGACTCGTTCGATTGGTTAGAATTTTATATACCAGTGCTGGTCACGATTCATTTGTATGAACCGCAATCTGGGCAGTGATCTGATGCAATTCTTACGATCCTTAGTTTTTTGCGTTTTCCGGTTGCACAAAAATTAAAGAAAAATGTGCTCAGATTATTTACGTCAATATAAACAATGAGCAATGGTTGGCCCATTGTTCGAAAAGCAGAAACATGGAATCAGCGGTACAAATCCCCAAATGACAGATATGTTTTAAATCTTCTTTTTTAGAAGGCACCAACCATTTTAGAATCATCGCCATTATCAGAACTTCAATCTATTTTAACTCGCATTTTTAGTTGGGTTGGCGGGTAGTTAATTTAGATTACGGTGGAGCGCTACAAGCAAGATATTAGTGGAAAATGGTGAATACCCCGTAAAAAATTTGCAGTCTCTAATACTGCATGTAATTGTTTTGGTTCACCTTTACAAATAATTTGAAATTACCACAAATTGTGATACAGTTAGAAAGAAATGAAAGGGAAAAACTAATTTTGATATTCACCCAAATGGTTTAGTATCGTCTAACAATTTTTTATTATTGAAAAAAAAATTGAAAGAACATTTAAAATTAACACAAGTAAAACCTAACAAGAATGTATAAAACGGTATAAATACTATCAAAATAAGAGAGATATAATATTTTTACATCATTAATTTACCTTTATGTGTTACTTTTTCAGAAACAAGCTATGTTAGTGAGGCAACTGGAAGAAGAGCTAAGAATGAGAATGCGGGGACCCAGTATAGAAATACAACAGCAAATGGAGGCCCTATATCAAGAGAACGACCACTTGCAAAGGGAGATAGCAATTTTAAGAGACACGATTAAGGTAACTAGAGAATAATAAAAAAAGGAAGTAAATAAAACATAGGATATAACTGCAAAATAATACTAAATAACACTACACCATAAGCAGCACTTTTACTTTTACACTGCACGCGCGTTTATAAACATGTTAGCATCATTTTTGATGTTTATAAACTTTTGGATGATGCTAACATGGTTAGCGAAATCATGTCCAGTGTAAAAAGTAAAAGTGTTTTGGTGCATTGTGGTGATTTAGTGTTTTTATTTTGCTGTGTAACACCAAAGTTTCAACCCTCAACTGTAATCTAGGATATAACTATTTTGTTTTACTGTTGATTTTAATTACTTATATTTGACAAATTTCTTGATACTTCTAAACTTTGAAAGAGATAAACATATTTTTTTTATTTAACAAGTTACCATCCATTTATAAAAAAGAATTTATTAACCAAGTAGTTAAAAGTAAATAAAATAAAAAATCAATGTGGTGGCGAAATTATTGGTTTAGATGTTTCCATATGTGATAACAAATTAAGAAATATTTATTAATTAGGTTTAATTAAGTAATAAACCAGAGACTACTAGGCTAAAACCAAATCGATTTATTTGATTTTACCCAACATATACAAGCAAAATGTTTCTTTATTTACTGTTTGTTTATTTTGTTTTGGCTACAGACTTAACATAATCCTTTTTCCAAGATTGGATAACGCTATTAACAGAGTTACGCGAGCTTCATAAAATCAAAACTAATATGTGTTAAATAAATAAATATATATCAAATTACTTTAAATTTACTATTTACGCAAGTGGTGTCATTGAAATTAAAAAAAAATAAACCTAAGGAATTTTGGATTTACTAAAATAGATAATAAATTACATAATATCATAACATAATATTTATTGAGCCATGAGCCTTGAGCCATTATAAAGAAGAAGAAGCTATTATATACTAAGCTTAAAGCTATTATATACTAAGGGCTGGCAAAAGTTAGTCTTGGGTCGAAACTTCCGTATGTAAGAAGAGTACAATGCGTTTATACAGGGTGAGTCTTAAATAAGTGCCAATATTTTCAGGGCTGGTAGATCTCGATAAAAAAACATATTTTCTCTTTACCATTTTTCAGATAAGTCCAAAATAACCAAGTTATTTAACTTTGAAAATTAAAAAAAAATGATTTTTTTTAAAAAAATTTTGAGAGCCACCGGATTTTTTCTGTATTTGCATCCCTTTTAGTGCCGTAACCATAGAGTAAGCTCCGCGCGCACTGAATAGGTATCATCAAGAGCGAGCGGCACGTAATTTTCAGTTTGCGTTGAAATAAATGTAAGCCCGCGCACCGCATCAGATTGGTGCGCTCGGTGCGCTTCGAGCTATCGGCGTTACTCGCGCCATCAGGCAAAATCAGAGAATGCATGGGAAGGGGCGAATAGTCTACGCCGAGCGATTGTTTATAGTGGAGCGGTTTTACATTAAATATATCCGATGAATTATTAATCGAAAGTGTACGAGACCATATCATACTTAATATGCGGTTTCTGATAAAAATTTCTTACAAGCACGTAACCTATATTGTTTACTACACTTATTCAATAACTGAATTAGAAAACCTTCCGATTAAACCCATTTATTTCCATCTCGTTTTGATTATCTCACATTATTTTGAAAAATCCAATTTAAATATCGTCAAAAAAACTTATCATATTATTTAATTTTTGGTTTGTCTTGACGTTAGTAATAACAGCTGATAAATAGTCATCCTATGTTACTATGTTGATCGCTCCGTAAAAGGTACAAATAGAGAAAACAATATTTATGTTTGAATAAAATATTTGTACATATATCTACCGTATGATAGAAAAAAACGGCGTCCAGTTGGATGGGAAATGAAGATTGATGACATTTCCTATATAAATTTACATATAAAATGGCACCGACCTTCATTTCATGGTCATCGCTAATGCCGTTCCTTTTCGATAATACGGTACTATAAAAACTATTTATATTTTTTCTTTTTTCAATTTTCTTTGACTTTTTTATTATATTTTAAGTTTTCAAAATCTTGGTTTTAAGTCAGTAGTGAATAAAACGAAACTTGTGTTTACATTTTGTTTAATGATTGACGTTTCGACTAATTTTAGTTCGGTCTTCTTTAGAATCTATAATATACAATACAATTTTATCACTAACAATGTGTTTAATATATAATTTTTTCTTACCACAAACGTAGAAAATTATTTATACGTATATTATAGATTCTGAAGAAGGCCGAATTAAAATTGGTCGAAACGTCAATCATTAAACAAAATGTAAACACAAGTTTCGTTTTATTTACTACTGACTTAAAACAAAGATTTTAAAAACTTAAAATAAAAGCGATATATAAATGTTTGTAATGACACTTATTTAGATTAAAAAACTAGAAATAAAAGTTTTATTTGACTACTTTTCATATCTAGCTTTGTTTTTAAAGAACAAATTAAACCCTTTTGAATTATACCAAATTTGTTAAAATCGGTCAAGCTAAGAGTCATGTAGTATATTTTATCCCCATCTTCCACTCTATTTCACTAATTTTATGTGGTTTGTTAAGATCTAAAATAAATATATTAATGTGTGTTTGGTTAAGATATAAATAATATTAATTTCCATCATAAAGTATAAAATATAAAAAGTTGCATAAAAATATAAATAGTAATAATACTTTATAGTTTTTTGAAATGCCGAATGAATTTGACTAAATTTGAATAAACTTCTCCTCGTCTATGCTCAAATTTATGCTGGTGACGTACTCTCGACCGCCGATCGTGCGACTCCTGTGCGCGGCTACAATCGACTTTCCGACCGGTCGTGTCGGTCGCGCCGCTCGCTCTGGCCGATACCTATTCAGTGCGCGCGGAACTTAAAGCCGTAACTATGGTAATAGCAGAGATTAAGAAATTATACCGTGGGAAAATTTGCGGTGAACAGGCAGTTCTAAAAAGTTTTCGAAAAATATACAGGGAAATTTAAAAGAAAATGGAAGATTTTCAAGATCTTTTTTTTGCGAAAAAAACCTCATAGACGTGTTCCTGGGGTCGAAATATACCACCCCTGAAAATATTTGCACTTATTTAAGACTCACCCTGTATAATGTACTGAACAAAGAGAGAACAGTAAACACGTTGCCAAACGTACGAAATAAACCGAGAAATTGCGCACATTGCTAAGAGACGTGGAAAGGGATATAGCAGATTTGTCACTCAATCAGAACCCCTGTCAGTACTTCTACAAAGTTCTAGGGAAAGGTGTTCATCATGCGTTCAGCTTCACGATTTAATTACGTCTGGCGATACTTTATTTGTTTATTTATAAAAGAGTCGTTGTAATTTTCCCCAGAGCTTGAAAATTTTTAAGTTAGAAACACTACTTGTTTTTTTGGTAAAAATAAGTAGAATTGAGTTGGTGTTCGACAGTGGTCGCGCTATTAGAACTCTGAATTCAAAATGAATCGATATCAAAATCTATTAAATAATTTGGTTTTTAAAAGGTTTGCATATTATGCTTAATACACATGCCAAATTTGAGCAATTTTGAACATCTATTTTCATATTAAAACTGAACAGGTCATAACAGATTAGTTCTGGTTTTTCCTGTTACTGATTCTTAACCATCGTAGAACTTTACAGCGCATGCGCAGTTCAAGGACGGTTCAGAATCGATTCTGAAAAAAACGCAAAGTAACCTAATACAAATCCAGACAAATGTTAACATGTCTTAAGTTGTCAACTTATGATTTTGGGATTGTCAATTTTAATTAAACATTTTTAACATTTGTTAAAAAAAATGTTTTTTGATAAATTTGTTTTTCTTTAAAAGACATGTAGAATTTTTACAGATTCGTAATATCCTTTAAAAGCATGTTACTGTTACATATTTTACAGAACATCATATATTAGCACTTTGTTATCTTATAATAGACGTGGATTGACCTAATCTAAGCATAAAAATTTAATAAATCTTCTTTGTAAGCATAAAAATTAAGAGAAAATTTAAGGGAAATGTATTTATAACATCCCAAGCCAGGCCATTTAACTTTTTCTATTGACAGTTGATCGATATAGCCTTCACATACAATTTGCGATGTTGTCAATCAAATTGTTTTATATGATTTTCTTCTGAATAAGGTTGAAGTTGTCGTAATATAGCCCTAGCAATCAAAATACGCTCTAAGGGTGTTTTTATTATTTCGGTTTCACTTTTTTTTCGGTTTTTCTCTTTTTTAATACGAATTTGGTGGCTTTGGTTCAACGTTTTTTTGTTGTGATTCTGTTTATTTTTTTTGTGAGTTTGGCAACTCTAAGCGTAACGTTGTATTTTACTCGCTTTACGAACGTTATAATAGGGAATTTCCGCATTGAAATGTAGTGAACATTTCGAAATTTCAATTAATTTTTTTCGTAGAAAACGTGGTTCATTTAACATTATTTTTTTAACATTTTTTCTTAAACTATTCAATAGACTATGGGGTTCATTGTAAAAATTAAAAAAGCTCTAATTCATGGGGACCTGTTCGTCACAAGATTCACGGATTTGTCCGTTCTCGATTTCTATATTTAGGAATTTTTGATATAAGAAATATATCGTGCAATCCTACAACAATGCCGAAGACCTGGAAAATGCTATCCGGCAAGCTATTGGCAAACCCATCCTGTTATAATAAATCCCGTTATAAAAAAAGAAGAAATAATTTTTCAGAGTGGTAACAGTTAAAAAGAAAAATATTTCACTCCCAAATAAAAATTTAATATGTGTATAACTATTTTAGTAAATACCATTTTGATTTTTTGTTATCTATCACGGCCTACTAATAAAACAATTTTGTCAGTTTTCACCTTCTCGACACCGTTCACAATAACAGAGATACTGGGATACTGTCCCAAATTGCAAAATTTTCGAAAAGACCCTCTAGCTCAGAAACGTAGAGGGCTATGAAAATTTTGTTTATAGCATCTTCCTTTAACAAACAAGGGGGAAATGTTTGTGCAAACTGCATC